TTCTTCGGGTGTTTTCCCCGATTTTATAGCCCTCAGGTACCATTTGGTCATAGCTCCGCTAAGACCTTTCCTGAGAGGGTCGTCTTTTCCGCCTGGTTCTCCCAGCTTTGGTAGTTCGGCGGAGGCTTTTTTCTTACCTTTTGGTTTCCCAAGAGGAGGTCTGTGTCTTCTAGTGTCGCTACTTGAAGGTAGTGAACCTTTCATTTGAGTGGTGTTTAATTTCCCACGTAGCCACTGAAATTTATCTTTAGAAGGGAGAGGTGGTCTCTCCTTTGCTTCTGAGGACTGAGTATCCATCTGGGGGTTGATTCCCAGATTACTTATTGGGTTTGGAGCAGTGGAATCCTGCTCTAGGTTTTGTTTTTCATTTACTTTGCTCATTGAAATCCCACGAGTAGCTAGGGAACTATAAGGTCCGCTCCATCAGAGCCCCGCATGATGGAGTAAGGCTAAATACTCTCTGATGTCGCCCGGTGTCAGAGAGGCTCCGTTCAAGACAGTCACATTAACTCCGGCTGCCAGTGAATCACTCGGCACGGAACGCATCACACCTTTGATTGGGGCGGATGCTGTTTTCTGTCAAGCCCAAGACTCTTTTTAGGGGGATGATAGGATAGAGGGAGAGGGGTTGGTGATAGGAGTCTATTTAGTGAGGAGTGGTTAGGAAAGTGAGTACCTCACTTGGGGATAGGACACCAGAGCCCCTTTAGCCTTTTCGCACCGTACCATGCCGTGGGGATCAGTGTGAATCCCCCCGTCAGGACGGCGACGAATGTTTCCCGGGGTTCACTACTTGGAAGCGGGGTTGGTCTTTGAACCCCGTATTATACCCTTTATACAAGAGCTATTTGTTTTGTGCTTACAGCACACCGGTAAGTCCTAGTTCATCTTCAAGGAACATGATTAGTATGCCCGGTTTCAGTGGTTGAATCTCTTCTACGGTTACGTTGTATGTCCCAAAACACTTCCTCCTGCGGGCAAGTGTAGCACCACAGTTCGTTAGTAGGTGTATTGGTGTCTCCTCTGCTTCTTTGCAGAATATGCCGTGTTGGTTTATGCCAATCTTCTTCAGCTGTCCATTTAGTTTGAAGTGTTCTATTAAGAATCCTGTCAGGATTCGCAGTTTTTTCCTGCTCCTTTAATAAATTCTGTTACCTCTTTCTTTCCAAATTGTTAGGAGTTTCTTGGACTGAGTCCAATGAGTGAGTTCTGTTGTTTCCTCATTTTCTTTTTATCCTTCTGTCTGAGGTGCTCGTTGATAGTTTGTATTCCTATGCCATAGAAGGGCTCGGGTCCTAAGAGCATTACGACAGCCCCTCTTCTTGCAAGGGCATCCACTTTCTCGTTGCCTTCTACTGCCTGTCCTGGGATCTCAGCAAAAGCTGACTTTTTTACATACCTAATTTGTTTAGTTTGGTTTTACAGTCCAGACCATCTTTGAGCTAATGATTTTTAAATTTAGCGCTTCGATGACTGGTTATCTGACGTGATAGCTGTATTCTTTGTTCAGATTGAATTGGGTACATCGTTCATTTGCATGGAACTCAGCTTGGAAGATACTGGTGTATTTTCCCATAGGTTCTGAATAATTAGTTCCAGGACCGAATACTCCTGCCCCCCTACCTTCTAGCGTTCTAGATCCGTCTGTGTACAAGTAGAAGGTGCCATTCTTCTTCTTTTTCTCTCTCTTCCTTGCTTTTTGGTACCTAAGTTTATTTGGAAATTTGGGTTAAACTCAAACATACTATAATGTTGTCTCTTGGTATACTTGATTAACCCTTTCTTGCCCAAAGTTGTTGTCAAAGCAATGTCAACTTTTATTTATTACTTTTATTAATTTTTAGCAGGAAATCACGTGAAGTTAGGGCGGGAAGTGTTGGCCCTTCTCTGTTGATGCACGTGTATATTGGCAAAACACTTTCTTTTCTCTTTTTTTTTTTTTTTTTGGCGCCAATAACAAACTTTTCGGAATTTCTCGCTAACCTTTTAATAAAATTTTTAATTACAGTCTCGCTCTCTAAGGCAGCATTGGGCCATAAAGAGTTAACACCTACAATTTTTTGTTATTTACCTATATAAATATTAAAAACGTAATAAGATAGTATTTCATTAGATTATAATGCATCATTTTCTCCTTTTCCAACCAGTCATTCCTCTTTATAATAAAATAATCAGCTCCTCCCAACAAGACTTTTTCACATTTCGATATTTATAATCGCTACGCTCCACGTTCCACAATACAGGTCTTTTTTCAAATTCGTCGATCAGGAGATCGTTGTCAACATCTCCGTCATGATGATCGAAACAATTAATATTCGCTGATAAAGCGCGCGTTGAACTGAATGGACCGATTAGCCACTTGGTATCTGGACACGGGTGTTCAAACGCGCGTAGTGAGGGGATGTCGAGTCGCTCGTTCGTACGCGCGTTGAGCTTAATCGCGCGTTAGTGGACGCTCTACTTTGAACTTTCGTATTTCACTAACGCTTCATGTGTACTAGGCTGTTCTTCTTGATGACTGCGTGATGATGAGGTGATTAGCTTTCAATTTCGATCGTTCTGGTCCGTCTATCCTTGCTGTTTTGGTTTGTCAATCACGTGTGGCGTCTTTGTGTATTTTCCTTAATCTGATCCCTTGATAAGTTCGTGAAAAGTGAAAGTAGTGCGTCGGCGTTGGTTGTCTGTCGGCGCCTTTGATATATTTTTTAGGTTATTTGATTTGTTTGTTCCTTTTCTTTTAAAGTTTTACCGTGTGCTGAATGTGTTTTGTTTCAAAGTTTTCACGCATGCGCATTTTTTCTTCTCCATGGAGCAATTTTTGGCTCGCATTGTTGAGGGTTCGTGGTGTGGTTTTGTGTGAGGTGATTGCGTGGCTTCATTTTCCGTCATTGACTATAAATGACCTTATACACGTTCTTTGTATCTGACTTTTATTTCCCCGTCTGTCAAACCCGATGTATTTTTCTCCTTATTTTTAGTTATTGCAATTGCTGTTTTTAAATTCACTAATTTCGTGGTCCGCTTGACCAATTAATACATTACAATTAATTAAGGTTTTTAGTTGAGATGAAAAAAGTTAATGGCACGAGCGGTATTCAGCAGCGGCGTATCTAGCCGAAGATCGTGGGTTCGAATCCCACTCGTGACATTAACTTTTTTTCATCTCAACTAAAAACCTTAATTAATTGTAATTGCTGTTTTTGTTGATTTTTTCTTTTTCAATTGAGTTTGTCATTTTTATACCTAATTTATTAAATTTGGTGGTTAGTTTGTACGTCTCCTTTTGTATGTAAATGTCCATTTTTGTGTGTCTTTTGTTTACCAATTTGTTAATTGTTACAGCCGTTATGTGTTACGTTATTGTTTGTTCCTGAGGCATGCATAGCAATCGTTTACGTGAGACGCTAGTTATAACATCATCTCCATGGATATCAACCCGCGGTGTGATGATATGGCGAAACCAGGATGAAGGTGTCTTCCGCTGGCCCAATTAATCTAGAAAAATTTAAGATTTGCTAATTGAAAAATAGTGATTTGACAAGAAACTTTTTTACTTTTGAGTACTGTAGGTTAGAAAAAAACCAAACAACAGTGTCAAAAGATCTGCACCCCTTCGGGTCAGCATGTATGGATCTTTTTTAACTTCTAATCAAAAAGCTCTTCTTCTTGGTAAAGAATCTTGTGGGAAATGACACCTTCAACGTTACCGTGCAGTATGTCATGATGTCATTACCGAATCCTGGGGACACCGGCCTTTCATGCCCAAAGTGGGCGGAACAGACTGACTCGAAACTTCCGCCTTGTGTAAACAAAGCGATTTAGTTCGAAGGCCGATCTCTTTATATTTTCGTTATGCCACACATCTCGATTTATCACATTCTTTCGAGGTCGAACAACAAGGCTCTTGTGCACAGGAAAGAAGTGTATTCGACATACAGAACTAAGCAAGATATCGGATAACTTCAAACTAAGCTTAACTTAAAATCCCAGGTTGCGAGAGGTAAAAATTATATTGTTAAGGACGAAGACGCACCTCTTGGCGAGGCGGCCACTCGGAACGATCCACTTTGTAAATCTTTCATAAACTCCGATTGCATAAGACCTGTGACTTTATGAATTATGTGCTCGTATGTGCACCAACCACTTTCCTCCAGACTTCTCTGCCACTCGACTGAAAAGAAGTATCGTTTTATCTGATAAATCGCGTTTTACCATAGATAGTAGGATAAATGTTAATGGCTGCTCTTTATACAGCATCTAACTTCTTTACTACAAACAAAGATGATCATATGAAGCAATAAGTATTTAATTATGGTCCACCCCCTAACAAAAAAATGTTAGTGAATACAAATTATCACGATAACTTGGGGGTTTAAATATGTTTTAAGCTTGTCCTTCGATTTAATTGGTTTGGTTTTCTGGTTGGCCTAATTTCAACAACCATGATTTTTAATAATAGCCGAATTCGGATCGCGGCCAAGCTTTCATTCCCAAATTGATCGGATATTCAAATTAAAATCGATGATGATTTTCTTGGCGTGATCATCAGTTATAAAAAGTGAAAATAATATCAACATTATCAACTAACTTTGATCAATCATGCAGTTTTTCAGCTAGGAGTCGTAGGGATTTTTCACATTTGCACATAAACTTAAGTCTATTGTGTCCGAGCTTTTAATGGTTTTTCGTAAAGAAGTACAGAATTCTTCTCAGGGTATGGCATCGTGATCTTCATTACACAGGCATGGCCTTCCTAGGTACCATAGACTTTTCCTAGCGATTAGGGTAGTTGCATAGGATATGTAATGAACTAGAACTTGATCTTCTATTATTTATTGTAAAAATAAGTTTGTATTTAAAAAAGTATACGCTTGGAATAAATAAATTCGCCAGTTTACACAGCAAATCCGTATATTTGCAAAACTGGCCCTTGAAACGAATACAATCATGGTTTAAATTTATCATATATTCTATATTAAAGGAAACTTATTATTTTACAGAGAGGGCATTCAGCTATACTGAGATCCAGAGATATGACGGATGGTTTAACAACCTTGCCCATCCTCACTGGGGGTCTGTCGGTAAGACTTTTCTTAATTTTGTTTTTATCCAAACCAACAATCAACTCGTATTGCGATATATTTGATTAATTACAAATGAAATTTCATCAGAGTGGCTGATCAAAGGCCTTACATAACAATAGAAATTGCACGCACAATTGCATTAAAATGTAATTAATTATCCATATTATAATTTATTAATACTGCTTCTTCTTAAATTATTATATTCATGAAATACTAGTGTACTAATTTTTAAATATTGATTAATGTATGAATTAATTTGTTTTATGACAAAGACATGTGTCAAATAGATTGAGTTATTGTTAATAAATCATCATTGTTGATTGAGTTGTGTGTGTGTTGGGGGGGGGGGTTTGTGAGTGTGATGATACGGTTCAGCGTTTCATGTGATGCTTCATTAAGTGGACTGCTATGTTTTGATTGTTGCGCAAAGCTCGCCTCACCCAGCTCTCCCTGTGGGCTTATATTTCCACCTTTCTAACCTCGTTCCTTGACACTTAATCAATTCTATTTGAAACCCCATATTTAAAAAATGCTTGATATTCAATCACCGACACTTCGGATCTGTCATAGATTAAATATATAGCTCATAAGCAAATATTTGATGGACTTTTTTTGCAACTTGTAAATAAAGTAATTAATAAGTGATACCCGCGATCTTTTAAGCGGCTAAACCTCTAAATAACGCAGTTCATTTTGTATTTTAATGCCATCAATTTTGCCTTCTAATTTGAAATATAAACTTTAAAATGTAAAATCACTTTCATAAGAATCGAAACGGCATACTTTATCAGACCTCGACGTTTCGGGACCGCTGATCAACATAGCAGATAAAGGAAATTTGTTTGTGTGATAATCACGGTCACAGAAACATTGAAACTTCCTACTTCATGCCAAGCTTCCATTTAATTAGTAAACATCTTCAGGGCCTAATACGAAAAAAACATATCACCTTAAAAACACATTAAACATTCAACGAAAAACTTGGCATGAAGTTGGCAGTTTCAATGTTCCTGATTATCACATACAAATCTACACAAGTTCGATCCATCTCTTAACAGAATCTTAAAGGAAATTTGTTAAACCATTTTATTGTTTAATAATTGAACGAGTTTTCTTCGATACGCTCTTAACTTGCTTCTTGTTTAAGGTGTGTCCAAGTTATCCGGGACAAATGTATGTCAATGCAATGTTTTATTTTTTTATATATATTTTTTTTGACTTGTGCAAATAAGTTTACATTCAAGGTACACGTACCACCCAATCTTGACCCTGTTTTCTGCAAATGTACTTATTAGACAAGAAACCTCATTACAACAACTTGCATTATTTTAATAATAAACATTTACCACATACTTTGACTTTTTTTATTTTTAAAAAATTGTTCTTCAAATAAAAATCCAACGATAAAACGACCCAAGTTGGACGAAATGTGAAATTCTGCCAAGTACGCCCATTGACGAAGCCTTTATGTGCTGTTCTAGTTTTAACGTCCAAGATCCTTCAATAAAAAGTATTGATTTAGTACGAATACGTTAGATACAGTCGTATCGCATGTTCGATAATAGGGTTGTTTTTTTTCAGACCCTCCGACAATACCTCTACAAACGAGCAAATATGACTAATCGATTGTTAGAAATACATAATGTCATAAATAGAAAAGTTAATGGTACAGCACAAAACTGGGTCACTTTCGAAATCTGGTCAGTGACGGACAAACCGATGTAAGATCTCGAGTCTCGTTAAAAGCGTTTGTTTGTAAAATTCTTTTTAAAAACACTTTTGTAGTTTGTTCTTTTAAAAATGTATAACATTGAAATAATTAGGCGGATCATTGAATTATTTTTAAAATTTTGAAATTTACGGCAGTTACACATTGAGTGTCAATGTTTAATCGGCAAAAATTGATGGTATTTTCTTTATGCCACTAAAATTGAAAATTTTAACGATTTTTTAAAATCTCTTTTAACGAACCAATTTTCTTACAGCCTACAAATACAGCCAAAATATCAGTTCTTGTACCTCGTGAAATACGATAGCCACTTGTTTCTTGGGTCCTAGACGAACCTAGAGGACCGAATGGGACTATGGCTGTTTTCTTCTTAGTTCAAAATTTTGTAAACATTGTAAAAATAAGTAATGTTCCGGTGATTTTCTATTAAGCACAGTTCCATACTGAATTCTTATGTAATATGCTTTATGGCGGTTACAACGCGCGATGGCCCTTCATGAGCGGAGGTGCCGTCCAAAACACATTCACGGGGATAAAACATCAAAGGGGTCGTCGGTCGCCGCAACGGTTAAGGCGTTGACACGGCGCTCATCACTGTAAGGTAAAGGTCCCGAGTTCGGAACCAGCGGCCCTGCATTCGAACCCGACATACTTACAAATAGCGTTTTTTCAAGAACACCGGTACCCCGAGGGTTGATATAACCTCTGCTGTTACGAACCCTCATAACAATAAGAAAATAATTTTTAAAAAAGTCAAATGTTTATGCTGTTAATAAAGAATGAACCTTTCTTTCATGTTTGATACCCAAGACAAATCTTTCATCATGTTGCCACAACTAAACAAGCGAATTTTAAGAAATTGGTATTACATATGCCAATGTCTTGATATATTCTCAAAATTATTTGAGGAGGGCAAGATAAATTGTCGTTTTTATGGGTCTATCTCTTTTAATTGCACTTCTGTTATATGTAGATTAGACTTACAATTTTTTTTACACTAAAAAAACTACAAAAAACGGAATACTATGTCTTCATTGGTAATAATAGATTGTCAGTAAAAAGCTCCCCCTAGACAAAAACAGACACCCATTCTTAGAATCCCGGAAACATTCTTTACAGCATCCTATAAAGGAGAGGAAGAACTCAGGAGAGCATCACATTCAATGAGATGGTATACAGATTGCTCAAAAGAAGATACTGAATCGGGTGTTTTCTATACAAACCAAAATATGAGCAATCAAACTAATTATGGAAGTACACTCATTCTTTCAAGCAGAAATACATGCCATCAATGCTTGTGCCCTAGTAAATCTTAAAAGAGGTTACACTGGCAAAAAAAGTCCTCATAAGATCTAATAGCCAAGCAGCTATTAAAGCATTAGCGTGTAAAAACATCACATCAAAATTCGTTAGTGAATGCTTCCAACATCTTCACAACCTTGGGAAACACATCAGCATGATATCTTGGGTGCCAGGACCCAAAGGAATTTAGGGTAACGGAAAAGCAAACACACTGGTCAGAGGAAGATCTACAAGACCATACTTGGGATAACAAAAACAAAACAGAATCCTCCATCATAGAATGGATCCCAATAAAACAAAAGGAGAAGTGTATAAACTCTAGTGGTGCAAGACACAGTAAACTTATGCTAAAACAATCCACACCAAGACTGGCAAACTCACTGCTGCAGCTGGAGAGGGCCAGACAAAGAGGAGTGATAGTTTCTGACATCTGAGAATACATCTACATAAATAAGGGAATCTCATTTGCGGATTATGTTGTGAGCAATGGCTCAAAGGAGACATAACCTAGCGTACAGAACAAACCTAGGGAATGAAATTGTGGCAGCGACAGTAAATGACCAAATACTTCTGAGAAGAAGGATTGAGTCGAATGCTTGGGGAGCACAAACCTCCGCTTCCTAGTATCCATCATCATCATCATCACATTATCCCATAGACCATAAGGTTATCCTACCATTTAAGCAGCAAATTTTTTATAATTTTTCCCTGGGATCAATGGTGACTAAAGTCTGTTGCTGAAACCCCAAAATTCAGATTCGATAAAAAAAAATCTAATTAAAATACCTAAGCAGAATGGTATATGTCTATCCTACAGATGGCTGTAAGACTTAGTTTGGGTCAGGTATTTATGGAAAACAAGGACTATAGTTCATATAAGCTTTGGGTATATGCCACTCTTCATGTGGAGTTTGTGGCTATTACACAAGCCAAGGAAATTAAAAGGCTGGGTATTACCAAAAAAAGAATAGCCTTTTATTGGGTAGTCAGGTCCTTGGTAGTAAAGTCTAGCCATTTAGAATTGCATCTGTATCAGACATTGGGAAAAACAACAAAATTATTCTTGTTTGGTAACAGGGTACCCAGAACGGAGATTCAATGAGGACAATAAATTGGAAAATGAAAGTTCAAAGAGGACACCTATCGGCCCTGTACCCTTTTGCGGCGTACCAACTTGCCAAAAATATAGATTAATCGATCCTTTTTTTAATGGAGTATTCAAGGACAGAAGCATGCAAAAAAGATCATCCAAGGACGATTGCCGAAACTAGTGGCAGAACTACAAAACCTATGACATGTTTGTACTAGAATGATAGGAGGATTGTGGACAGGACTCTGCAGGCTTCAGAGGTGTATGCGTAGACCAATCAGCAGAATCAAACCTATGCAGATATTGCCAGGAAGAAGAAGAAACAGCAGAACATGTTGATGCAAAGGCCTATGCAAGCTGACATTCCTACTCATGGGAGAGGAAAAGCCTAGGCCTGTAGGAAGAAGTCCTTTACTAAGCTTGGGATCTTATGTAGATGCACATAATAGTAGAGGTTGTACAATAGACAGTTGGCAGGGTATAAAATTGAAAGAGGCTGACTCCTTTTAACCTTAAACTTAGTCTTCCTTTCTTCCATTGTGACAAAAGAATTATTGTGGGATTGACCTTTCTTTATTTCAATACCCCAGAAAGTAAAGTACCCTAAGGTAGTTGAGCACTCTCCAGGGTTCCTTTTCACTTAGTTCCCTAGGCGTTAATGTCACCTTTCTGAAGTGGCTGTATCTTTTCTGGGTTAATACTTTGCAGTCACATAGGGCATATTTCAATGTCTCTGCTATTTCATGACAGAGTCGGCAAGTTTCTGTCTCAGTTTTCCCATTTTTGGGTGGTATTAAATGGACAATCACCACTAATTTTTTCTTAATCCTGTCTGCTGAGAAAGAAGTATATCTTTGTTTCCCTGGTTGACAAGTTGAAAAACTTCTTTGGTTGTTTTTTGCATTTGGTGAATTCATCCAGTGTATAGTATCTTTCTCCATACATTTGTTCAGTTACACCTTTAGCGTGTTGAGGGATGTGCTAAGTTGCAGTTATTGGTTCAAAGGACAGCTCTGTTTTTGCTAGTGAGCCTGTGTGTTGCCTTCAATCCCATTGTAATAGAAAAGGAATATTACAAAGAACTCACAATGTAAACCTGAAGTAGGCTTTTAAAATCTGTTCTGCAATTCTGAGATTCACTGTCACATATCCTTCGGTGTTGGTTTTAAGAGATGTTGAGGCCATAGACACTCGCCCCTCACTGGGCACGATGCTAATGTTGTTTCAGTACAAAATCCAAACTAATAAAGCTCCCTGAGCTTCCAATGTCCACTAGGCATTGAGCAGAGATACCATTCACCATAGCCATAGTGATAGCCTCACCATAGCATGGCTCAACTGGTGCAAAAACTTCCCATTCAAAGATGCAATGATAGCTGCGGAGACAGTCTTTGACTTAGGTTCCCTTGTAGGTTTTCAACATACTCTTGCATAGTGGCCACGGGTCCCACAGTTATTACATTCTACATCTTTCGCAGGACAAGAAAAACAAGGATGTCGGTTTTGCCCATAGAAGTAACATCTAGCCCTTTCGGTTTGGATGGTTGTGCAAGCATCTTTGATTTTGTCTGAGAAACTCTCAGGATCAGTCGCGGGCAGTTCTGCCTCCAAACCCGCACATGTATGCTGACTCCGGGAGTATTCCTCAGCCTTTAGGAGGTTATCAGTATTAGAAAAAGCGGGCTATTTAAATCACCACACCCATCAAGCATGGCAATCACATCAGAATTGCCTGATTTCATTTTCCCAAGAGCTGGAGATATGTTAGGCAGCTCCAGACCAGCTTGGTGTGGAAGGTAGAGGAATCTAAAGTGTCCAGTTCTGTTTGCCTCTAAGAATATGTATTTCTGTGCACTTTTTAATCTCTTTTTAAGTGTTTTGTACACATAATTCTATTGCATGGTCTGAGCTTGAAGAATTGATGGTGAGGAGCCTATAGGTTTTGCTAGGTCAAAATTTGTGCCTTTGATTCATTTGTTGGATCTACCTGTGTACCACTTTTTTTTTTTTTTCAACTATGAGGTTATATTAACTCTGCTGCCAGGGGTGCTGACGTTTTTGAAAAGAAGAATTTGTAAGTATGTTGGGTTTGAACCCGGGACCTTTACCTTACAGTAATGAGATGGCCACTAACGCCCCATCAAACCACTTTATATACTTTTTTCATATTTTTATCAGTTAAAAGATTTCTGACCACCATACTAGGGTTCTTTGTGTGACCATCGATGTGACCAGCCGGTAGAGTAATATTAAAATTTTAATTTCATTATAGAAAGTCAAATGACTCGTAAGACACCAGCAGCCTATAAAGATGGTGTATATATGATGTCAGGCGAAGACAGGCCTAGTGCAAGAAGGATATCACAGCTTTTTATGAAAGGCAGTGATGGATTGCCTTCCTCCAGAAATAGGACTGCTCTGCTTGCATTTTTTGGTAACATTATTATCCTTATCACAATATAATTATTATTATTTGAATGATTTTAATGTATTTTTTCTACTGTTTCATAAATATTAGGCCAGGTTGTCAGCAGTGAAGTAGTGATGGCTTCTGAGAGTGGATGCCCTATAGAGGTCCATCAAATACCAATTGACAGGTGTGATGATATGTATGATCCTGAGTGCAAAGGAGGCAAGAGCATACCGTTCCACAGAGCCAAATATGACCCAACGACAGGGCAGAGCCCTAACAGTCCTAGGGAGCAGGTAAATTTTTGCCTATATCTCGATTCCTAGATAATTTAAAAATTTGCCATTAGATCAACCGTGTCACAAGTTGGATAGATGGGAGTTTCGTCTATTCTACAAGTGAGGCTTGGCTGAGCACCATGCGATCTTACATAAATGGTACATTTCTGACGGATGATACTGGGAAGCTGCCGGTCAAAAATACCATGAGGGCTCCGCTTTTCAATCAGCCTGTACCTCATGTGCTTAGGACTCTTTCACCAGAAAGGCTCTTTTGTAAGTATCTAATTAAATTATGTAAATTATGAGAGGTCGATGTTTGGACACAGTACGTTACACGTCAATCATGTAAATTAAACGTTTTTCTGAAAGAAAATATTGATAACAAGATATTGTTGGTAGGTGATTGTAATGTGAGAATAGGATCCTCCCAAATAATTCCAAAAGAACTTTTTATTAACAATTGTAAGTGTAGTAAATGGTTTAGACAATCAAATGAGACAGGTAAAATGTTTTTAGATATGTGCGATGATCTTGATTTGATCATTTTAAATGGCAGATTTCCCCGTGACTTCAAAGGTGAGTTCAATTTTGTGGAGAGTATGGGCCATCCGTGAATGATCTCTGCTGTGTTCTGTTGCAGTGCATAGATTTGATTGAAGACTTCAAGGTGCTTTCTGAACCATTTTCAGACCATCTTCCCCTTTATTTCTCTTTATCCATTGTAACTACCCCAGATGATAATGTGTTGCCTCTTTACCCTCAGTTAGTTTGGTGGGATAGTGCTTCAAGTGCTTACAGGAAAAATATTGTGAAAATTCTTAAAAATTCCGATGAGATTTTTTGTGGATCCTCAAAGATGCTTTAGTGGGGGGGCCACGGTAGCCGAGTGGTTAAGGCGTCAGACTCTCAGCTAGTAGATCCCGCGGTTGTTGGTTCAGTCCCCACTGTCGCCTCTGGACTTTTTCTGGCGCCTAAGGGGACCGGTGGCTGCAATTGAAAGAAATTGACATGGCACTCATCAATGGAAGGGTCGGGATCGGATCTCAGCGACCCTGAATTTGATCCCAACCCCCTTTAAAAATGAGTTTCTTCGATGGAAGAACGCCGGTACAATGTGGGCTCAAGTTCACATTTGTGTTGTTAGCCCTCCCCCAAAATATGGAGCCGGGATAAAGTACAATAAGCTGTACAGCTCAGCTGCAGTGCTCAGGAGGGAACTCCTCCAGTCCCTGATATCAAAAAAAAAAATGCTTTAATGGCAATTGTAAAAAAAGCTTACCCTGTCTCCGAATCCAATTCTTCAACAAGGTTTGAAAGAAAACAACTATAGTTTTACAGTAAATGTTTCCATGCAAGAAATCGGTCTTTTAGACTTTTAAATTTCTTTCGCCAAACTTAATCTACCTACACCCAAATGGCCTACAAGAACTCCATTAATGAGTACAAAAGTATTTGTGCAGCTAAAAGAGGGATTTCCTCACTTCTACGGCTAGAAAATTAGAGCAAATAAACGAGCCGAATGAATTTTGGAAACAAGTGAACCACTTTAAAAGAAAAAGAATGGTCCGCAGATCCAATATTTTAATGGATCAGTGGGTGTACCACTTTAATATTCTGCTCAACCCTGAAATTAATGTAGTATCAACTTTGTACGCAGAATCATTTATTCAGGATCGATATTTAGATGCACCTTTTACTCAGGATGAGTTGACGGCAGTAATTTCCGGTTTAAAGAATGGAAAAACTCCTGGTTACAACAGGGTAAGTTATGAGTTCTACAAATTTGCACCCAATATTTTTAAAGAAACCCCTGCTTCTTTCAGCCCGTCAGTTATTTTTCCTCTCTTCAAGCACGGAGATATCAACGAGGTTGCCAACTATAGGGGTATCTCTTGCATAGATGCAATCACTAAGATATTTTCTGGTCTATTACTGCTGCGTCTTGAAACTTAAATATCTAATAATCATTTATTGTCTGAATTTTAAACAGGTTTTAGATGAACCTATTGTACTGTTGACAATCTCTTTGTGTTGATAAATATTATTAAACTCCGTTTCCTTGAAAGAGGTAAGAAGGCATATTGTTTCTTTGTAGATTTTCGGGCTGCGTTTGACCGAGTAAACAGAAAAGCGCTTGTTTTAAAACTTTTTAATATTGGGGTCTCAACCAAATTCATAAATTTTATATTCAGGTTCTCAGTCTGCAGTACATGGAAAAGAAGGTATTTCAGAGTGGTTTTATGTGAACTCGGGGGTAAGGCAAAGGTGTATGCTAGGTTCACTTCTGTTCTCATTATTTTTAGATGACCTGCCAGCTGCTTTAGATTCTGGTGTCAGAATCGGCCATACATTGATTAACATTCTAATGTACACTGATGATATTGTTCTCATCGTCAATAATGCAGCTCCGACAAAAATTTTCCAGTCTCCGACCAAAAATTTAAGTCAAATGTAAATCAACCTCCGGCAGACTTCCATGCCATAAATTTACTTTAAATTATATATTATTTAATATTTATAACTATTCTTTTTTGGCAATAAAAGTATATTATTATTATTATGTAAATTATGAACTTGTGTCTGGGAGTTTGTTATTTTTGAAGGGCCTGCATATAAACAGTTTTGAAATACCTAATGGGCAGTACCTGAAAACATTTTTTTTTTTTTTTTTTTTATTATTGAAACAATAATCTATACTGTATTATATCATTTATTTATTGATTTTAACAAATTGGCAAAATTTATAGCTAAGAGCAGGAGAGTTAGCATTATAATCACAGGCATTTGTTTGATCAAATAATTTAGAATTTAACTATTTCAGTTATTAATTCATACATATTTGTAACTACATATTGTCTTTTTAGTATTGGGTGATCCTAGAAGTAATCAAAATCCAGCCTTACTTTCATTTTCAATTCTGTGGTTTAGATGGCATAATAAACTAGCACAATTGGTCCAAAAAGAATATCCGGAATGGCCAGATGAAGAAGTCTTTCACCGGGCCCGACGTCTCCTTATTGCTCATCTTCAGGTATTTACTCCTTTTAAATTGAGCATGTTTTGTTTTTATGTACACGTTAATTTATTTCTATTTCAGAACATCATAGCATATGAGTACTTGCCAGCGTTTACAGGCCAAGAGTTACCAAAATATTCAGGGTACAAGTTGGATACTCATCCGGGTGTATCTCATGTTTTTCAGTCAGCAGCGTTTAGATTTGGGCACACGCTAATACCTCCTGGGATATATAGAAGGGATGGGAAGTGTAATTTTAGAGAGACCGCGATGGGTAATCCGGCTTTGCGACTCTGCTCGCATTGGTGGGATTCGAGTGTAAGTTTTCAAAAGCCCAACTAGAAATCGTATATCAAATTTGGTATTAATTTTTTTTCTCAATTTGAAGGATGTTTTGGGAGAAACCAGTCTGGAGGAAGTTCTTCTTGGAATGGCTTCTCAGCTTGCAGAGAAAGAAGATACAACGTTATGCTCTGATGTGAGAGATAGACTTTTTGGCCCAAATGAATTCTCAAGGCGAGATCTTGGTGCATTAAATATAATGAGAGGGAGAGACAATGGCCTCCCTGATTATAATACTGTAAGATTAGGTCAATTGTAACATAAAGAAACGAATCATGAAATATTCATGTTTTTTTAATTTTTAGGTCCGGTCTTTTTTCAATTTGCCAAAACATGAAAAATGGGTGGATATAAATCCCGAACTGTTCGCTGCAGATCCAACTCTAGAGGAGAAACTATCTTCAGCTTATGGCGGTTCGATTGACAACATTGATTTATACATTGGTGGAATGTTAGAAAGTAAAGATGGGCCTGGTGAACTCTTCTCAGCAATTATCATGGACCAATTTGTTAGATTGAGGGATTCAGATAGATTCTGGTTTGAAAATAAAGAAAGTGGAATTTTCACTGAAAAAGAAATAGAAGAAATAAAAAAAGTCACTTTGTGGGATGTTATCGTCAATGCAACCGACATAGATCCGGCTACTTTACAAAAGGATGTTTTCTTTTGGTCAGAAGGTGATCCATGTCCACAACCAGCTATGCTTAATGCTTCCATGCTTGAGCCATGTTCGTACCTTAAAGGATATGATTATTTTGAGGTATTTTAACAACTTTGAATAAGGATTTAGACTATTAATTCTCATCATAATGAACTTTTAATTTTTTTCTGTGTAAACAAATTGATTCCTGTTGTCTGATCATTTCAAATCATCTTGGTCTGCCTACCCTTGATGATTTGGACATTTAGGTGCATTTCAGAATCTTGTCCAATTCCAAGAATGTTGGAAACAACCAAACTACAGGCTCACCACACTCCACCACTTTAATTCCTTAATAATAAATCTATTATATTCCCTGTTGAGTTGTTTTATTATCACAAGGAAATACATTCTAAAATATTATATTTGATGTTTGATAACTATTGATTATAAAAAAATTTAGGGAAGTGAACTGGCTTATGTCTACGCCTGTGTATTCCTGGGCTTTGTGCCATTAATAACTGCCGGAGCGGGTTATGGCGTTGTTAAACTTCAAAATCGACGAAGAAGACAATTGAGGATGAGACAGGAAGAAATGAAATCTGGGAATAAATCATCGAGTGCTACCGTTGACAAAATGGCAGTTAGGTAACTCATTTTTAGATTTATTTCTCAGATTGAATTCTCTCATAGATTTATTTTAAAAAGAATTATCTTTGAATATCAAGATATTGTTACAAATTCTGTTCGTTTAAATAGCTCGCTTTTTTGTAGAGAATGGCTTCATGCTAATCATAGACGATGCGTTAAAGTAAGGTTTGGCCCAGAGGCATATTTGCATACGGTTGACCGAAAAGGTGAAAAATTACGCACCGTAAATTTTAAAAATACAGATACAGTCACAGTAGAAGAATCAGTGGTAAGCAATTAGTTTACAATATTATGTGTTTGTCAGTACAATACAAACATTTTATTACAGTCTCCAGAAAGAGGAAAGAAAAAACGACCGATGGTGTTAGTGAGGGTGCCCAGAGATCATGATCTAGTGCTTGAATTTGACTCTTTATCAGCAAGAAGGAAATTTATAAACAAATTAGATTCATTCTTAACATCTCAAAAGAAACATCTAGTCATAATACAAGTACGTTATTTAAGTTGTAAAAAAAATTCTAATTTTACTGTTCTGTATTGTGTTTTATCCAGTCTGGCAGAGAAGCAATGCTTTCTAAAGCAGAAACAAAGGAGAGAAGGCAGAGACGCCTAGAGCACTTCTTCAGAGAAGCTTACGCTCTTACTTTTGGACTTAAACCCGGTGAAAGGCGGAGGGGGTCAGACCACGCAGACGGTGATGTCGTAATGCGTACATCGCTTTCCAGGGCTGAATTTGCATCTGCCCTTGGAATGAAGCCTGATGATATTTTTGTTAGGATGATGTTCAACATAGTTGACAAAGACGGAGACGGCAGAATATCATTCCAAGAATTTTTAGATACAGTGGTTCTGTTTTCACGAGGAAAGACTGAAGACAAACTGCGAATAATATTTGACATGTGCGACAACGATAAAAACGGTGTTATCGACAAAGGGGAATTTTCAGAAATGTTAAGGTCACTTGTAGAAATTGCAAGGACTACAAGCCTATCGGATCAACACGTGACAGAACTAATAGACGGAATGTTTCAAGTAAGCCTGGAAAAATTAATAAAATTTAAAAACTGAAGTTTTATTACTTGTAAATACAATTAATTTAATCATTGATCAAAATATTAAAGTCATAATATTATAAATAATCAAATTTATCAATGTATCAGTGTATAACTGACAAAACATTTTTGTCATTTTCAAATATTTGGTTTAAAAATTGTCTTTACATTAATTTTTGTATCACTTTGATATTAAATATTTAATTAATTCTTTCAAATAGTAATTTTGTTTTATAGAATGCTGGACTGGAGCAGAAGGACTTTTTAACATATGCAGATTTCAAGCTTATGATGAAAGAATACAAAGGCGATTTTGTGGCTATTGGCTTGGATTGTAAAGGAGCGAAGCAAAACTTCCTGGACACTTCGACAAATGTCGCAAGAATGACAAGTTTTCAAATTGAACCAATAATTGATGACGATAAACCATGGATTACAAAGAGTTATGATTGCATAGTTACATTCTTAGAAGAAAATCGACAGAACATTTTTTATTTATTCCTTTTCTATGTGGTAACAATTGCATTATTTGTTGAAAGATTTATACGTAAGTTTCTTGTTTGTATTATTTGAAATTTTTCTTCAAAGCGAGACTTTCGAATGTATGTTTTTAGACTATTCATTTCTGGCGGAACACACCGACCTCAGGCACATAATGGGCGTTGGCATAGCAATAACAAGGGGTTCTGCGGCATCTCTGTCATTCTGTTATTCGCTAGTTTTGCTAACAATGTCCAGAAATCTGCTTACAAAATTAAAAGAGTTTCCGATACAGCAGTACATACCTCTTGATGCACACATAGTCTTCCACAAAATTGCAGCTTGCACAGCCCTTTTTTTCTCTTTGCTCCACACTGTCGGTCACATCGTTAACTTCTACCACGTTTCAACCCAACCAGTCGAACACATACACTGCCTCACAAGTGAAGTCCACTTTTCTTCAGATTACAAGCCAGGGATAACATTCTGGCTTTTCCAAACAGTAACTGGTACATTAATCTTCATTTTTGTTAACTACTTTATAGAGAATTTAAATTAAATATTGTAAATTGATTTCCCAGGAATTACTGGCGTTCTACTGTTCATAGTGATGACAATTATATTTGTATTTGCTCATCCGACTATTAGAAAGAAAGCATACAAATTTTTTTGGTCGGCACACAGTCTCTATGTTGTATTGTATTTGCTTTGTTTAATTCATGGTCTTGCTAGACTGACTGGACCTCCAAGATTTTGGCTATTTTTTATCGGTCCAGGCATTGTCTACACATTGGATAAGGTAAACATTTTATGCCATTAGAAATAATGTAATTTTTTTAAAGCTTGAGAAATGATATCTTGATATTTTTAAACAATAGTCTGATTAAAACAAACTCTAGGTTTTAAATTTTGTATTTAATAAATAGTAGACACCGATGATGACAAGTTTTTCTAATATTTTCCATGGTAAAGTTACAACCTGAATATTTTTGTTACAATTTTAGGTAGTAAGTGTAAGAACAAAGTATATGGCCTTGGATGTCCTCGAAACTGAACTATTGCCGTCAGATGTTATCAAAATTAAATTTTACCGTCCTCCCAACTTCAAATATCTTTCTGGACAGTGGGTCAGACTTTCATGCACATCATTCAGAAGTGAAGAATTCCACTCGTTTACGCTTACTTCTGCCCCGCATGAAAATTTCCTCTCTGCGCACATCAAGGCCCAAGGGCCATGGACGTGGAAGCTGCGTAATTATTTTGATCCTTGCAACTTCAACACAGAACTTGATCAGCCAAAGGTAAGCCGTTAAAGCCATTAAATAATCTTCCATGGGAGTGAATTCGATATATGTTCCAGATAAGACTTGAAGGCCCTTTTGGAGGAGGAAACCAGGACTGGTATAAATTTGAAGTGGCGGTTATGGTTGGTGGTGGTATTGGAGTTACACCTTATGCATCAATCCTAAACGATCTCGTATTTGGGACTTCTACTAATAGATACAGTGGTGTTGCTTGTAAGAAGGTTAGTAATTTTATTGTCCATCTCACCATCTTACTAAAACCAGCAGTGCAATACTGTACTCTGAAATTTTGTTGATAAAAAAAAGCCCAGTTTCTGATAATTCTGTTTGTATACATGTTAAAATCATATAATAAGTAAATCAGGATAATCAAGGACATTACAACTGTTAAAAGACATTTTTTATGTGTGGTACTGACGATAAATATTTCTGTACATAATGTTTTAAATATGGAGTTTATGTAATCAATGCATATAACTTTATAGGTGTACTTTCTATGGATTTGCCCTTCACACAGGCATTTTGAATGGTTCATCGAAGTTCTTAGAGACGTTGAAAAGAAGGACGTAACAAACGTTTTAGAAATACATATATTTATTACTCAATTTTTCCACAAGTTTGATCTTAGAACAACAATGCTGGTGAGTTATTGCGAATTAAAATGTTTAAATTTGGAAAAAAAATATATAACTTTATTTTTCAGTATATTTGTGAAAACCACTTCCAACGCTTGTCTAAAACTAGTATGTTTACTGGTTTGAAAGCAATAAACCACTTTGGAAGGCCAGATATGTCTTCGTTCCTCAAATTTGTACAGAAAAAACACAGCTATGTAAATTATAAAATTATTTTTAAATAATAAAACATTATCTATTTAAAGGAACGAATAATTAAAAACTGTCTTATTTCAGGTAAGTAAAATAGGTGTATTCAGCTGTGGACCAAGACCGCTCACTAAGAGCATAATGTCAGCATGCGAAGAGGTTAATAAAGGAAGAAAGCTACCATACTTCATTCACCACTTTGAAAACTTTGGCTAAAACCAATTGAAGTTGTTAGTTGTTTGAATGTAAACTACTTAATTCAGTTGGAAAAAAATCTATATGTAAATATAAAAATGTTAAAGAAAAATTGTCCTTATGTTGTAAATAATAAATGTCAACCAAATAAAAATCTATATTGCATCATGTAGATTTAAATACTACATGCATCCTACTTGTTGACATTATTTTTCCCAAACTGAAGTGCCATTTAGCCTTCTTGTTTCAGGCATTAGTTATTTGACTTATCTTGTATTTATATACTATATGTATTTATGTATTATATAAATAATTTCAACTTAAAAAATATCAATGAAATTTTTATTACAACTATATGTACAATATTTATTAAATTTTTTAAATTTATACTCATGCGTTTAAAAAATTAATTCCATGCATAAATTTCTGAAGAGTATTAGTTGATTTAAGATGGTTATCCTGCCAAAGCTGTAGCACCACTCAAACTGGTGTGGACATAATTTTTACCAGCACCAGCACATCCTGAGCTTTTGGGAATTCCAACAACAGAACTGGAAGCAATAGCAAATGGATGCAAGGGAGATTTAAATGTTTTATTACTCAAATTTGCAGTCTTGCTTTGCTCATTATTGTTACAATTAAGAAATTTGGAATTATGTTTGCTTGGGGATCCTTTATTGTTTTTCTGTTTTGCTTTACTGTTTCTATTTTGTGATTCTCTTGTTGATTGTTTATTTTGACTGTTATCCTTTCTGTTTGTTGTTCTATTTTGTTGGCTTAGGTTTTTTTCATTATTTCTTTTGGGTTTGTTAGTAGATTTAGCAAGATGGTTTTGTTTGTTATTGCTTAAAGAATTATTTTTTGATTTCTTTTGTACCCTGTTGTTTTCCTTCTTCCATTTACTTTTATTTCCTCCTCCACTTCTACTCGTACCATTGTTGTTTTTGGGTTTATTTGTTGATGTCTTTTCCTTATTATCTTCTGTTTTACGTCGTTTGCTTTCATTTTTTGAATTATTTTTTCTTAGTATATTTTTAGATTGACCTGGACGTTGTTGTATGTTTGGGTTTGAAGAATTACCTATTGATTTATTTTGTCCCGCAGTGTTTTTTCCATTTGCTTTACTTTCATTTCTTCCTCCACCTTTACTTGTTGTATTATTTCTGTTTTGAGACCTATTTGTTGAATTTCTATTATTACCTTTCCTGCTTGTTGATTTATTTTGTCCCGCAGTGTTTTTTCCATTTGCTTTACTTTCATTTCTTCCTCCACCTTTACTTGTTGTATTATTTCTGTTTTGAGATCTATTTGTTGAATTTCTATTATTACCCTCTATTATTACCCTTCCTGCTTGTTGATTTATTTTGTCCCGCAGTGTTTTTTCCATTTGCATTACTTCCATTTCTTCCTCCACCTTTACTTGTTGTATTATTTCTGTTTTGAGATCTATTTGTTGAATTTCTATTATTACCCTTCCTGCTAGTTGATTTATTTTGTCCCGCAGTGTTTTTTCCATTTGCTTTACTTCCATTTCTTCCTCCACCTTTACTTGTTGTATTATTTCTGTTTTGAGATCTATTTGTTGCATTTCTATTATTACCCTTCCTGCTTGTTGATTTATTTTGTCCCGCAGTGTTTTTTCCATTTGCATTACTTCCATTTCTTCCTCCACCTTTACTTGTTGTATTATTTCTGTTTTGAGATCTATTTGTTGAATTTGTATTATTACCTTTCCTGCTTGTTGATTTATTTTGTCCCGCAGTGTTTTTTCCATTTGCATTACTTCCATTTCTTCCTCCACCTTTACTTGTTGCACTATTTCTGTTTTGAGATCTATTTGTTGAATTTCTATTATTACCCTTCCTGCTTGTTGATTTATTTTGTCCCGCAGTGTTTTTTCCATTTGCTTTACTTTCATTTCTTCCTCCACCTTTACTTGTTGTATTATTTCTGTTTTGAGACCTATTTGTTGAATTTCTATTATTGCCTTTCCTGCTTGTTGATTTATTTCGTTTGGTATCATTTTTTAAAACCTCATTTTCCTGTTTCTTCTTTGGACGGGTTTGTCTATTTTTGCTTGAAGAATTACCCCTTGGTTTATTTTGTCCCGCAGTGTTTTTTCCAGTTGCCTTACTTCCATTTCTTCCTCCACCTTTACTTGTTGTATTGTTTCTATTTTGAGATCTATTTGTTGATTTTCTATTATTATTCTTTCTGCTTGTTGATTTATTTTGTTTGGTATCATTTTTTAAAACCACATTTTCCTGTTTCTTCTTTGGACGTGTTTGTCTATTTTTACTTGGAGGATTACTGTCAGATTTCTTCGGTGGCCTATTGTTTTTCTTGTTCTTGTTACTTTTATTTCTTCCTCCATTTCTAGTAGTACTGTTTCTGTTTTTAGGTTTGTTTGTTGAGTTTTTATTTTTAGATGTACTTGCACGTTTTTGTACATCTTTGCTTGACGAATTGCTTTTTGATTTCTTTTGTCCCCAACTGTTCTGTGCAGTTACTTTACTGTTATTTCTTTCTCCACGTTGACTTGTTGTATTGTTTTTATTCTGCGATCTATTCATCAATTTATTTTTTTTATCCTTCCTGCTTGTTGATTTATTTGGTTTTGTATTATTTTTTAAAACTACATTTTCCTGTTTTTTCTTTGGACGTTTTTGTTTATTTTTGCTTGATGAATTACCTTTAGATATCTTTGGTGGCCCTTGGTTTTTCTTGTTCATTTTACTTTTATTTCTTCTTCCTCTTCTAGTTGCACTATTTCTGTTTTGGGGTTTATTTGTTGATTTTTTATTGCAATTGTTATCTGTTTTACGTTGTTTGCTTTCATTTTTTGCTTGTTTCCTTGTGGGCTTATTTTTAGGTTTATGTGGGCGTTTTTGTATGTTTTTGCTTGAAGAATCATCTCTTGATTTATTTCGTCGCCCACTATTTTTTCCATTTGCTTTAGTTCCATTTCTTCCTCCACCTTTACTTGTTGTATTGTTTCTATTTTGTGATCTATTTGTTGAATTTCTATTATTATTTTTATTGTTATTGTTACTTTTATTTCTTCCTGCATTTATAGTTGCACTGTTTCTGTTTTTTGATTTATTTGTTGATTTTTTATTTTTATCCTTCCTGCTTGTTGATTTATTTGATTTTGTCTCATTTTTTAAGACTACATTTTCCTGTTTTTTCTCTGGGTGTTTTTGTTTATTTTTGTTTGATAAATTCATTTTAGATTTTTTTGGTGGCCCATTGTTTATCTTGTTCGTTTTATTTCTGTTTCTTCTTCCACTTCTAGTTACACTATATCTGGTTTTGGGCTTATTTGTTGATTTTTTATTATTATTGTTATCTGTTTTACGTTGTTTGCTTTCATTTTTTGGTTGTTTCCTTCTGGGTTTATTTTTAGATTTACCTGGATGTTTTTGTATGTTTTTGCTTGAGGAATCACCTTTTGATTTCTTTTGTTCCCCTTTGCTTTTTGCTGTTGCTTTACTTTTATTTCTTCTCCTATTGGTATTTTTTGTGCTATTTCTATTTTGTGATCTATTTATTGATTTGTTATTCTTATCCTTACTCCTTGTTGATTTATTTTGTTTTGTGTCATTTTTTAAAACTGCATTTTTCTGTTCCATCTTTGGACGTTTTTGTTTATTTTTGCTTGATGAATTTCCTTTGGATTTCTTTGGTGGCACATTGTTTTTCTTGTTTGTTTTACTTCTATTTCTTCTTCCACTTCTAGTTGCACTATATCTGTTTTTGGGTTTATTTGTTGATTTCTTATTCTTATTGTTTTCTGTTTTGCTATGTTTGCTTTCATTTTTTGATTGTTTCCTTCGGGGTTTATTTTTAAATTTACTTGGACGTTTTTGTTTCTTTTTGTTTGAAGATTTACCTTTTGATTTCATTTGTGCCCCGTCGTTTTTTGCTTTTGTAGTATTTTTATTTCTTCCCCTATTTGTACTTGTTCTGCTGGTATTATTTGTTGATTTGCTATACTTACCCTTCCGGCTTGTCGATTTATTTGGTTTTGCATCATTTTTTAAAACCACATTTTTCTGTTTCTTCTTTGGACGTTTTTGTTTATTTTTTCTTGAAGAATTACTTCTTGAATTCTTTTGTGCCCAATTGTTTTTTGCTTTGGCATTACTTTTATTTCTTCCTACATTTGTATTTTTGCTGTTTCTATTTTGCGATCTATTTGTTGATTTGTTGTCCTTATTCTTCCTGTTTTTTGTTTTACTTGGTTTTGTGTCATTTTTTAAAACCACATTTTTTTGGTGCTTGTTTAGATGGTTTTGTCTGTTTTTGCTTTTAGAGTAACCACTTGATTTCTTTTGTACCCCATTGTTTTTAGTGGTTACTTTTCTTTTTTGTCCTCCAGCATTTCCTCTTGTTCTGTTTCTGTATTTAGGTTTATTAGTTGATTTATTATACCTGTTGTTTTTCAATTTACCTGGACGTTTTTGTTTTTTATTTTCATTTCTTGTCCTGTTTTTTGATGTATTTGTTGAATTTGCTTTCTTATTGTTATTCCTCCTGTTTGGTTTCTGAACTTTTTTCTTCTTCTTTCTTGAATTATTCCTTCTTGATTTGTTTGTCGATTTGGGACCTTTTTGTATATTTCTCCTTGAAGAATTAACTTTTGATTTTTGTATACCATTATTTATTTCATTGTCTTTACTTTTATTGCCTCCTCCTTTTCCTTTACTTATGATGTTTCTGTTCGGTGATCTATTTGTTGATTTTGCTTTCTTATTGTTATTCCTTCTATTTGGTTTCTGCATTTTTTTCTGTTTCTTCCTTGAATTATTCCTTCTTGATTTGTTTGTAGATTTGGGATGTTTATGTATATTTCTCCTTGAAGAATTACCTTTTGATTTTTGTAGACTGTTACCCTGTTGACTTCTATTTCCATTTCTATTTTGTTTTCTATTTCCATTTCTTGTACTGTTTCTATTTCTTGGTATATTTGTTGATTTTGCTTTCTTATTGTTATTCCTTCTGTTAGGTTTCTGCACTTTTTTCTTCTTAGTTCTTGAATTATTCCTTCTTGATTTGTTTGTCGATTTGGGACCTTTTTGTATATTTCTCCTTGAAGAATTAACTTTTGATTTTTGTATACCATTATTTTTTTCATTGTCTTTACTTTTATTGCCTCCTCCTTTTCCTTTACTTATGATGTTTCTGTTTGGTGATCTATTTGTTGATTTTGCTTTCTTATTGTTATTCCTTCTATTTGGTTTTTGCACTTTTTTCTGTTTCTTCTTTGAATTATTCCTTCTTGATTTGTTTGTAGATTTGGGATGTTTATGTATATTTCTCCTTGAAGAATTAGCTTTTGATTTTTTTACGTTGTTTTTCTCTTTTGGTTTACTTTTATTCTGTTCTCCATTTCTTCTACTTTTGCTGTTTCTGTTTCTTGTGTTATTTGGTTTATTATTATTTTTTAAAACCATATTTTGCCTTGTCTTTTTAGTATTATTTCTTCTTGGTTTATTTGTAGATTTATGAGGATAATTTTGTAGGACTTTACTTTTATTTCTTCCTTCATTTCTATGTCGTTTTTTGTTTATGTTTTGCGATCGAATTCCTGATTTTGTATTCTTATTGTTCCTTCTTTTTATTATTTTATTTGGTTTAGAAACATTTTTTAAGGCTAGGTCTTTCTGCTTCTTCTTTGCGTTATTACTTCTTCCTTTGTTTGCAGGTTGATAAAGATCTTTTTGTACTTTTTTCCTCGGTGACTTACCTTTTAATTTACTTTGCACTCTATTGTTTTTATTTTTGTCTTTGATCTTATTTTGTGTGCTGTTTCTGTTCGGTAATTTTTTTGTTGGTGCATTAATTTTTTTAATATTATTTTCTGTTGACCTTTTGCGATTATTGTGTAATGTTTTCTTATTCATCCTCATTTTAACGTTCGGTGTATTTGTGGATTCTTTTTTCAATTTTGTTGTCCCACTTGGTTGATTCATGCTAGAAAAGTTAACTGCTCGTTTTGTTCTTATGTAGTGGTCTTTCTTCACGCCAGAAGTTGATTGTGTTTTAGTGTTAATATTTTTGGTATGGTTTTTAGTTTCTTTGCTTCTTCTAGTATCAATTGTTAGTTGAATTTTTTTCTGTTTTTTTCTACTTCTTTTCTTCCAATTATTTGTAGCTGTTTTCATTTTATTCAGTTTGCTTATGTTTATATAATCTCCAAAATTCATACTTCTTTTCATTTTTGATCTTACCTCCATTTCTTTCTTGATATTTCTTAAATAGTTGTTTGGTTTTTCAATAATAAAATATTCAAAAAATATTTTTATGGTATTGAATTTTTTTTTGTTTCTCATTTTTTGATCATGTCCTGTCTTATTCTTCTTAGCCAAGTCTGAACTTTGACTCTTTTTAGATTTTTTATTTTTCCAATATATTTTATATTTCTGTAATTTTACACTGTTTTTAATTATCATTTTGATGTTGCAATTAGAATTAAATTCCTTTCGTGCAATCAAATTCTCTCCATGCCAATCAGAATTATGTCTATGTGTTATATTTCTACTGATCAAAGTTTTAATTATTGTTCGACTCACAAAGACAAATTTGTTCAAATTTAAATTAGTGAAAAATATATTTTTAATACTGTGTCTGTATCGTTTCTTTTGACTGTGAGGAATACTAGCAGAATTAGAATCATACATTTTTTTGGCTCTGTTGTTTATATTCACCATGTATTTAAATTTAAGTTCATTATTTGTTATGTGCTTTTTGTACATTCTTTGTTTATTTAATTCTGTTTGTGTAATCATCATTGCAATATAATTTTCATAATTGGTATTTCTGTACCTAAATGTTGTTACATTCAGATTTTTATCTTTTATTTGTCCTTGTTCATTCTGCCCAGTTGGCATTCCATTTATAAATGTTTGATTGTTTGAATTTGGGTCGTTAGCATGATTTAGTTTTGAACTAATTAGGTTTCTATTTTTATTTCCTTCATTTTTTGATAATTTGGAGATATTTATTAAATATGGTTTATTTATCTTTCCTTTTTCATTTTTATCTCTTGTTAATCCTCTTTTCCAGTGAGAACATCTGAATTTGTAGCTTTGAATTTGTATTTTCACTTGTTGCCTGTCTTTGTCTTTATTCTTGTTCGGATGACTTTTCAATTTATTGTAATACTTTTGGGTATTTATTTTTTCACTCACAATTTTTAAACGTGTATCCCTTACTTTATAGATAAATACGTGACTTGCAAGCGGGCGGATCCAGTTAAAGTTATTTTCCGACCTTGTCGTTAAATACCAACAAAATGTGAAATGGACAAAAGCTCCATAGCACACCAAGGCAATGATCAGACCTGAAAAATTAAATTAAATATATAAAAACATATTTTCTCAATTTTTAATTAAACAAAATAAAATGCTAATTTTTAACAATCTTTAATATATACTTTTTCCTATACAACAATTTATGCATGTCTCATTTATAGCTTGATCATCTCTGATCATCATGTTGTTTCTGTTCTCACCAGTTTTCTCTCTCAGATAAATTTTGGTCTCAGTCAACATCGAACTTCTTTCTTTGGTAACTAGTCTGCAGGCAATTTTTATTTCATCGGAGAAAATAACTAAAAGACCAACCTCTGTAAGATATATATTAGTAAAAACTGTGTACGATGTGTGTACGATAAAAATGTGTAAAAGTGTACGATAAAAGTAAGAAAGAAAATAAAAAGAAGCCCATTATTTTAAAAATAATAAATATGTAATCTTATTATGAAATTTCTCCAACTGATCAGTGTGAAGATGAAACTGAAGTTTGGCTAGTGACAGAAGAAGACAGGCTAACCAAAAATGATTCGAAACAGTCAAACTGAATATAACGTTAAAAATTTAAATTTATTTAAAACTATTGGGTTGACCTGAAAATAATGCACATATAAAATAAAAACATTTAAATAAATGATTTTAAACATTTTTATTTATTAAAATACCCTCCATCACTCTCAATATCCTTCTCCAAGCGTGATAGCAACTTTTCTATATCCTCTGAATAGAATTTTGAGTCGTCATTTTTAACAAATTCTATTTCAATATTTTCAATTGCTTTAAGTTTGTCAGTGACAGTCAATTTGCTAACTGAAAGTTATCTGCAAGTTCTCAAACAGTCACAACAATATTTTCACTGAACGAGGATTATCTCAAAGGATAAGCTAATCCCCAACCGTAGGCTTGGGAGTGCAAGATGAGACACCAAAGGACGAGGAAAAGCTGTTTGAAGGCACCTGCCTTTTTTTTGTAAATGGCAAGGAGTTAGTTGCGTATGTCATAGATCACTTATTTTTATTTATTTATTTTTAAATCTGAATACATTTATTTTTTAGAAGGTTGAAAGAAAAAAGAAAAAAAGTGCCATAAAACAAACAATTTCACTAATTCTATAAATCTAATATTACAATATAAACATATGTGATCAACTGTGATAATACCTACTCAATTCCTATTGCAAAAAGAGAAAGAAGCTGTAGTCCATTTGCTTTCCACAACAGATATTAGAGAAAACACAGCTCTATATTCCTCAACATTTCGCACCAGACTTTTGGACACCTAGCCTTTGTATTCCAGGACTTGGCGCTTATGGACTGCATTTCTTTAGATCCATCCACTCCTGGACAGTGGCTCATACTACTCCAAGGACTACCTGTTTCTTGATCAAAGCATGGCACATCTCGCTTTACCGTAAAAGCCTTTATTTGTACCAGCATGACAATTTCTACTGAGGACTCCATCGTTGACTGGAACTACGCAGGCAAGGCCCATCTCTAAAGAAAGTTTGATAACCATTATTTCTTCTAGATCTTCAGCCATCTTGAACACTTGTTGAGATATATTGATTATTGTAAACTGTCTTAAATTATTTCTTTAAGCTCCTCCTTGCCATATTTCAAACATTTGAATGTATAAGAATAACAATTTTCTTTTATTTTTTGGGGGGGTAATTTTATAACAATATTTTCAAAAACGAGGAGCTTATCTCAAAGGATAAGCTAATCCCTAACCGCAGGCTTGGGAATGCGAGCTGAGACACCAAAGGACGAGGAAGGACTCTCTCTCAAGCTGTTTGAAGACATCTGCCTTTTTTTTTGTAAATGGCAAGGAGTTAGTTGCGTATGTCATACATCACTTATTTTTTTTTTTTTTTTTTTTTTTTTTTTTTTTTTTTTTCTGATTTTTCATTTCCTTTTACACTCGTAAGGAAACGAGTTGCTTCATGTGAAGGGGATTCATGCAAAGATCATAGTACAGTTGATTTTCTACGATCAAAGCTTCCAGAACATTCATCTAGGCAAGAAATCCTTTCACGACTTTCTTTGTCTTCAAACCTAAAGTCTCTCTCAAGAAATTTTTAAGCCGGAACGTAACTCTTACTTACATTGCCATTGCTGCATACTTCATTAAGGTTTCTGGCCATTTGGGCATCATTCGGACTGAGTTTCAACTTGTAAAACAAAATTAGTTGAAAATCACAGTTGGCATCTTAGTGAATTACTGAACTATCCCCAAGTAATGAAATGGTATAGGATTAAAAAGTGTTGACATCCATCAACCCATCAAAATGTAAAAAGTTTATTATACAGGGTGAATTGCTACTCGTGCTACAAACTTCTCCAGTAGATTCTTCACCCTAAAATGAACAAAAAAGTTCATATTGTCCATGGTCCGATTCTCAACCATTTCAGAGTAATTTCGCTTTTTATCGATTTTGAAAGATATCACGTCCTGGCGTCGGAAAATCGTGATATCTTTTAATCTAAACATTTCTCTTAAAATCTATAAGCACCGTTGAAATCCCCGTTAATTTTTAGAGAGAATCAAAATCATAATTCCATTGAAATTTTTTAATTTAATTTAATGCCCATTTAGTATGTAATGCTTAAGAAGTTTACAAACAGCTAGAAGGTCAAGGAAGAAAGACCCAAACGTTTTGCCACCTTCATCTTCTTATTGAAAAATTAACGGGGATTTCAACGGTGCTTATAGATTTTAAGAGAAATGTTTAGATTAAAAGATATCACGATTTTCCGACGCCAGGACGTGATATCTTTCAAAATCGATAAAAAGCGAAATTACTCTGAAATGGTTGAGAATCGGACCATGGTCAATATGAACTTTTTTGTTCATTTTAGGGTCAAGAATCTACTGGTGAAGTTTGTAGCACGAGTAGCAAGTCACTCTCAAACATTAGCAATCCTTGAACCACCATTTTTTCTCTTTTTGTCATCAACATCTTGGTCTCACAACCACTAAATAAGAAAATGACGAGTGCGTTGGAAGCGTTATTAAATCAGGTAGTTTTCCTCAAATTTGCTGCCTTCTGAGACTAAAATTAGAAACTCTGGATTACTTTATACACTTTCCGATTTACACAATTTTCCACTCTTTTTGTAGTTCTGGCTGAAATAAAACACAAAAAATTAGCCCAAACATTTTGCCACCGTCATCTTCTTATTGAAAAATTAACGGGAATTTCAACGGTGCTATTAGATTTTCAGAGAAATGTTTAGATTAAAAGATATCACGATTTTCCGACGCCAGGACGTGATATCTTTCAAAATCGATAAAAAGCGAAATTACTCTGAAATGGTTGAGAATCGGACCATGGACAATATGAACTTTTTTGTTCATTTTAGGGTGAAGAATCTACTGGAGAAGTTTGTAGCACGAGTAGCAATTCACCCTGTATAGATGGGTAATTGGAAAAAAACATAAAACCCTATGCCGTTGCCATTCAAGACATCTAGGAGTATTGTTATTTCATTCAGAATGTAACTAAACGTTTGCAAGATGTGTAAATTGGAAAATTTTATGAAATTTATTTATTTATTACATCAACGGCAAGCAAGCGGTTTTACAACAGTACACATACTTACAGGTCTACGTGACAGCAAAGCATTTGCTCTTCGGAAAGGACTCACTAACACCTAGAGAATTAGCAAAGAGGGGCCCTGAAAGTGCTCAACTACTACAAAGGTAATATACATTAAGGGGTATGGAAATGAAGAAAGGTCAATTCCACAATAGATCTTTTTTGGGGGAAAGGGAGACTTAAGACACTAGTGATCACACAAAATGAAAAAAAAAATATGGTATGTCTTTGCATGTAGGCCTGGATTTGACTGAGGTTGGAACCAGTAACCTGAATATAAGTAACAATTTTGTATTTAAGTGTTTTAATAACCAGGTATTAATTATTAGAAAGAAAGAAAAAATCTAATCGAACAAATGTAAAAATTGAAAATTAACAAGTTTTGTAAAATTTTAGCATTAATGCATATTCCTAACAAATAGTTTCTGTCTACAGGGGGTGGAACAATGATGGTAAAAAATTACCACAAAGTCATTTTTCAACCTCATACGGACATTTTTTTTTTTTTTATATGTTTGTCATTATTTTAATGATAACTGAAATTTAATCTATATAAGACAGATCGAAGGCAAATTTTCACGGCACAAAACAAAAATAGGAAAAAAGGGACAAAAGATCATACTCACGAGTGGTCATATCCAGTGTAAACCGCCTTTTCTAAACGAATTCTAATCAGCCTGACTCCTTAATATTTTTATCAACTACGATTAGTTTAAGTCGTTGCCCGTTAATCAGCTTTTTATGAGCTGAAGTAACACCTTTTTACCGTCAACTTAATTGCTAATGTATGCGTATTATGTTAAACGTCGAGGGTGTTGAATTTTTGGCAGTGTAAGGGGTAATGCGAGTCCGTTTAAGGATTCAACGAGCAGTATAGTAGGTATTGTTTAGAAGTGTTACTGTAATAAGCATTTTTGAAAATTCGATAAGTTATAAAGTTATTGCGATACTATATACATCAACGAAGCTCGCCACTTGTGTCGTACTACAAACGAACGTTAAAAGTCTAAACAATAAGTATAAATTACTCTTGTAAAGAAATAAGGCGACAATAATATTATAAAATTGATTTAGGTCGAAAATAAGTCAAGTAGTAAAGAGAATGACAAAGGTTAAACATAATACTAATTTTGTTAGTAGAGGAAAGAAAAAAAAATGAAATTAGAGAAACATGTATAGTTTAAAAAAGTAAGCTAAGATAAAAAGCCAATATCTAGATATTTCTACGTTACGCAATTCAAACACTCCTCATTTCAGCTTTGTATTCTCTTATCGCTATTAAAAGTGTGATCTAATTCACATTAATTGCCTCAGTCTTTCTCTATATCACGGGTAGTGCACAAAGTTACAAGGTATTTTTCCTTTATTGCTAAAAAGTAGATCTTGTTAAAAACAAAAATAGAGAAGTAGATAAATAAATTAAAACAAGAAGCTGACGATTTTAAAATTCTCTTGGGCAACGTAAACAAATCGAAATGCAGGTCTTTAAAACGTACAATGTGTAAAATGACGAATTGCTTGACGTTTTGACACAACGCCCATCTTCTGGATGCTATTTCTCAGTTTTGACGTTTTACAGCTTCCCAAAAAAGTCGGGTGAGATTCTTAAATTTATTCGTTATTGGCAGTGTGTGTGTCGTTGTGTTGTTAATTTGGTTAGTCGGTTTAAAGTAAACAAACTTTTTTAGTGCTCGATGCATTTCACAATCCGTTGGAATTTATACTTTTTCAAATACATTCACCTTACGTCATTTCTGTATATGGATCAATGATTAACTTGTTTGTACTGGCTGGTTCGTTGTGGTTCTGTTAGGTTTGATCTTTGATGTCAGTTTTTGAGTTGCATTTTGCATGTCCACTTCTACATTTTTAAATAGGTTTGTCTACGTAGTCGGTTTGGCTCTTTTCCTAAATGTGTAAATGTCGTTAGATTAGTTTTCTTCTGTGTGTATTTTTGTTTAAATGTTGTTGTTTCCTTTATTTTTTGAAATTTTTGATTCTTATCTTTCCGTCTGGTTGACCTGTGTTTTAGTGATGTAATTTTGTGTCTTTTTTAAGCTCTGGGTGTTCTACATTTAAATCAAATCGTTTCTCATCATCCTCATTTGGTCTGTCAGGACATAAGTAGGGCGAGGCACAAGCCCAATTCCAACTAGAGATGCCAGAACGGAAAACGCGTCTGACAGGCACGATATGAGGAAGGCCAAAAAGGACCAAAATGTAGATTCATCACCCTTCATCTTTCACAATCTTATATTTATGATTTTTAAGGCAATATCAAGCTATAATTCCATTCTTTTGTTCTGTATTTAATATGAACGATTATGTTTTATGGGTCGAGTTAAGGTTTTCGGAGAAAACGTGAAAGCTAAGCCGTTCAATGTATATTTGAAATTTAGATCTTGATCTTGTTTTTATGTAAGGTTTTTAATTAAGCTGCTGGTTTGTTGGAAGTGGGATTTTGCGTTTTTACTCATGTTTAACCAACGAGTGTTCTTGTTTAATGTTTCTTTAATTTTTACGGACATTTTGTCGAACAATATCCTCTTCCAGAAACCTGGCAATCCAGTTCGAAAAGTCTTATCATATCGTCCATTAGTTTAGATGTAGATGTATATGTAGATAAATACCACGCCCTTTGAGAACTATCATATCCCCCGATCTGTACCTACACTAGTTAATCAAGATATTTGTTCAGTAAGATCCGTTTCAATGGTTGAATTTCTTCTACGTTGTAAAACCCAAAGCACTTCTCCGTGTGGCTAAGTGTAGTGCTTCAGTTTGTTAGTAGCGTTGGTGTTTCCTCTGCTTCCTTGCAGAAGATGCATATACCGTGTTGGATTATACAAATCTTCCTCAAATGCCCGTTCAGTACAGTTTTGTTAAAAATCCTGTTAAGATTCGAAGTTTTTTCCTTCCTCTTTTGATGCATTCTGTTGTTTCTTTCTTTCTGAACTCGTTAAGAGGGTTTTTTTTTCCTACCATTCTTACGTTTCCTGGGACCCATCAGAGAATTTGCAATTCAGCACCAACTTTGAGCTAATAATCTTTTAGCTTAGTGCACTAATAGTTGCCTGGCTATTTAACATGATATGTTCTTGTTTTTGTACCTTTTGTTCAAATTGAACTAAGCAATTCGTAAAGTATTTGAAAAGATTCTTTTTAAAAGATACCAAAATTAAACTCCTCATACCTTCTCTCATATCATCACTTTCACTTTCGCTTGCACCATTCCACAGTCCGGAGAGTATTTTGCGTATGTAAGCCTTTCTTGATTTGGCAGAAACAACACAGCATAAGGCAGAAATCCTCTACCTAATCACCAGGCCGTCATCTCAAAAAGCTGCTTCTTTCTGGTCCGACAAGGACAAAAATTACTCCAAGTGCTATCTGGTCAAGGGAGTATGCAAGGCAGTTTCCTTAGACCAATCCTTTTTACCGCAGATGTCCCAACACCTGCCTCTCTCCTTGCTTCTTTACAGCATACCATCAGAATGCTACTTTGGAAAATTTGCAGACGTATCTCATCTATAGCAGATTAGTGTAGACAATGAAAAATTAAGATAAATGAAATGCGTCTATATCATATATGCACTCCGAAGCAAATCTTTCACAGTATATTACAGCAATGTTCCTATGCACAAATCAGCCATTGTTACCTTGGGTTCCACCTAGATTCAACATTATTTTTTTGTCCTTGTGTTTTTTATTTATCAGCCTGTATTTTAGCCTTTGGGTGTTTTGGTGTCAGTGTAAAAATATCGTCTTTTATCGGTTTTTATGTGCGTATATTTTATTAACAACTTCCCTTCACACTTGACTTTTTAAAGAAATAGTAAATAAAAACAAAACAAGTGAAAAATAGGAACCAGAACGATCAAGGACTACCTAGCAACACAATGCAGCGTTTCCTGAGCGGAAGGTGCATTTATTTAACCACAGATAAAAACAAATTCGTTTAAAATGTAGTTTAAAAGTCACCTATCTTATATTAGACCTTATACTAAACACTGCAATGACATATCGACACAATAAAATCTAAAAATATTTATCAAATTGACTTTTAACTCTAGATATTTAACTCAAGAAGCCATTAAAAAAGAAAACAAAATGCTGCGAAATTTTCAATATTTGGGTGTAATGTGACAATATACGATGGCACGTTTCAACGGACAAAAAATATCAGAGTCTCTAGTTCCTTGGGTAATGTTTAAGTCACAGTAGACAATGTTTACTCCACCGTCATTATGTGTATTTACTAATTAATACCTCTTAGATTTTTTGTAATAAAAGATCAAGCAGAAGACACTTAAAAATGTGTCGATTCGATTCGGATATTGCACATAATTGCTTTGTGCAAATATTGGATTTTTTCCCTTTATCTAAATGAGAGTTGTTTACGTTGGATTTTTAGATCTAGTTAAATCTTGGATGTAGAGATAATTTAAGAAATTAATGTAAAGTTCACTGTTCACGAAAAGTTATCCTGCACGGCATTATTTTTTAATAAAATGGCTAAAAAATTGAGCCATTCTTGCAAATTAACTGTCAGTTTTCAAAATTTTTCAAAATGAGATAACTCCATGAGTTAACTTTCTATCACGATTTGATGCATTCTAATAGATGACAAACAAAATGACTTCATGGAATTTATATTTACTTACGGCCAAAAAATTGAGCCATTCTTGCAAATTAACAGACAGTTTTCAAAATTTTTCAAAATGAGATAACTCCATGAGTTAATCTTATGATTCTTCCTTCTTGAAGGTGGGATAATAGGTCATCTCAAAAAACCACAACCAGTTTTTATCCACAACGTTTCGGATTTATTTTAATCCTTCTTCAGGTGAGTTAACGCAATGGTTAAAAAAGTGGTCGTCAGTCATTAATATTTTATAACAATTTATTTTAAAAAAGAGCCAGTGTGGTACTTATTCAGACTAGAANAAATAAATCCGAAACGTTGTGGATAAAAACTGGTTGTGGTTTTTTGAGATGACCTATTATCCCACCTTCAAGAAGGAAGAATCATAAGATTAACTGTTGAGGTCAAAATATAAGAAAACATCGTCCATGAGTTAACTTTCTATCATGATTTGATGCATTCTAATAGCTGACAAACAAAATGACTTCATGGAATTTATATTTATTTCGAAATGAATCTGAATGAGGTAGAATATTGTTTTCCCAATTTAATAGGAAGGGGTGATAATAAACTATAAAATTTCTTAATAAGTTTTTTTTTTTTAATTCAAAAACGTATATAATATAAAGACAATTTTGTTAGAAAGCAAAAGATTAGTGTCTGCAGGAAAAGTTAGATCAAAATTGATCTGGATTATTTATGAAACGGGTTGTTTAGCTTTTAATTGAGATTCCTAAGTTGGGATAATACATATAATAAAGTTAAATTAAAAAATAAAAAAAAAACATTAAAACGAAACAAGTCGAAAACGGAGAGCGTTGGAGTTGCTGACCTTGCAAGCCCACTATTGAGAGATTAGTATTCTGGGAGTGAGTCAATAGGCCGAGCCGTTCAGTTGTATCTTAGAGCTTTTTCGAACCTAGGTCTGCCTCGTCGGTGTCAGTGCGAAGAGCCGGCAAATGAGATGGAGGAGGACTCGACAGAAATGAAAAACATACCCAAACCGAAAAAAGATGAATACTCGACGACAATAACACCAGAAGAGTTGGAAAAGGTGAGTTAACGCTAAATAATCATGATATTACATTTAAAACAAAAATCTCAAAATGCACATTTTCTCAAATACAATAATTCACAAAATATTATAGTTATATTTTATTGGCATGCTGTTGTAATAATAATAATAATAATAACGCCCTTAAAAATTAATAATAATAATAATAATAAATAATAATATAAAGATATAACAATTCTTGTGAACACAAGTCAGGACAAAAATTACAATTATATACATCTATATATTTTTTTAAATAATATTTTTGAGAATATTATTATTTAAAGTAGGCAAGAAACAAATACTATGTACGTCTATAGCTAAACTAAGTTTTGAAAAAAAAAAGATTTCTTTGGACTTGCCAAGGTCGGTGAAACACATTAGCATACCAAATTTAAAAAAAAAAGTAAATGAATAAAACTGCAAAAAATAATAATTTATTAACTGCAGGAAATTACAAAGATAAATCAAGTGTTTAAAGAAAACAAGACTACAAACTACACGTGCACAGCAGGCTTATAGTAAACACAGAGCGTCGTTGAAGTTCATTCCACTGTAATTTAATTGCATTTGTCTTACACTCTACCCCAATTAACACATTCTTGAAATATGATTTTTTTAAATGCTTTTCCTTCATTCGCTACATCTGGTTAAGATAGTAAACGGCGATTACAGAAATTCCTCGACAAATCGTGCCCAACGACATCAGAAAACTTACTGTTCCAGATAATGCCATAACGACCGAAAACGATTAAGTCCTTTTTAGCGTGTTTTCTTCTTTTTAAAGATTTAAGCATTTTTCTAGGGAAACCTTTTTGAATTTTTTTAATAAGTATGGACATTGATTTTAACGAGATTCTTTTTGGTACTAGGTCGAAAAATGTTATACACGTGTCCCAGCGTTCTTGGCAATGGGCCCTGGATGCCTAGAAAATAAATCGTATCTTAAACACTTGTTTTTAAATATGATTTCTATTCTTCTTTATGAATGTATTTAAATCATGTATTTAATGTATCATGTATTTAATTTAAATTAAAGATAAATCGATTAAATGAGATTCAACATATAAAAAATTACAAAAACCAAAGCTTGCAGTTAAGTAGGCCAGAATTTTATAAATTGTTTAATACGGTACAAACTTCTCTTAACCTCACTTTAATTGATTTATAGTTAAAGAAATAACTAGAAAAGTCGACGGAAATATTTTTTAACGAAATTATTTTTATTTATTAGCCGGCCCATAATTCATATTTTATTCTCATCTTTACGTGACCGATAATGCATAAATATATAAGTTATGTGAAATTATCTGTTTACAACGCTTAGATGCAGGTGTCATTCCTAGTATTGTAGTCAGCATCTTCTCCCTCCCAAGAGACCTACTTATTTAATTCAGTATTTTTAATAACGATTCCTTGCCTAGAGCTTGACGAGAGTACATCGTTAAATTAGGTTAAAACTTGTTCTTGTAACTTCAAATAAAGTTTTTTTTAAAAAGGAATCCGCAGTTGAAGTTATTTAACTGGCGCAGTCGGTAGGACGGCAAAGGATCTCAAGAGGACATTGAAGATCATCTGTTTCTACAGTTAACTTGCCGACCGAACATCATCTGCAATTTGAAAGGAACATCTAACTTAGAGACAATAATGAATGAAATCTCGAATTTACAAACAAAAAATCCGTACAAATTATATGAAGAGACACAAGACAGATTCTTTGAATTTAAAGGCACACTCGGACTAGAAAACTACAATGACCAACAGCAAGAAGCGGTCAGCGAAGTAGTCGAAAAATGGGTGGTTCACAAGTTCATTGGGAAACTGAACGAACCATTCAGAAGTAGCTTAGCTAATAGAAATCCGAAAACTCTGCCTGAAGTTGGACGTCTTCTCCACAACGATTATCAGTACCTAAAACAACATAATTTCACAACACGACCTCAATTTATTAATAAATCACCCGGTAATCAACGATTCTTAAATTACGGGGCGACATCTCAATTTAAAAATTTCACAAAGGAACCAGGAAATTCCCAACAAACTCATTACCAACAAAACATGTTTGCACCCAAACAACAGATTCACAACGGGCAAAACATACACCCAACACTTATGAGCATTTCCACACGGGGTACGCAACAAAACCCCACATTCAACCGCAACATTCACAATTTTAATAAAACTTCTGGACAAAACAGGTATAAATTAGAAGGGTTAAATAACGTTGCAACTACGGAAAATTTTGAAGACAACGAGTCTCAAAATGACTTTGAATATGATTTAACAGAAAATTTTTCAGGGGATATAGAAACAGAAGAACTAAGTCAGAACCATTTTTTAGAGGGTGGAGAAAAATCCCCGAATATCACTTAAACAATACTACCGAAAGCATACTACCGTATATTTTATTCCCGAATAATAATTTAAAAATCCTTATCGATACAGGTAGTACGAAATCGTTTATCAAACCAAATATTGCTAAAACATACTTTAACGCAAAATTTAAATTCAGACCATTTAAAATCCAAACAGCCCATGGAACATCTTTAGAAAAATACAGCACTGTCATAAATTGCTCCGAATTATTCAACTTTGATTCTCTCTTCCTAGAATTCAATGTGTTTTATTTTCACGATTATTTCGATATCTTAATCGGGCTCGACAATCTACAAAAGCTGCACGCTCACATAGACTTCAGAACAAACACACTTAGCACTCCTCGTCAGAAAATTAAAATTCTCTATTATCAAATACCTAAATCAAACCACAACATAATAAACAGGAATTCAAAAACAATGGCAAAAACTAGAAACACCAGAAAAGAGGAAATTAAAAACCCAATTTTTGTAGAAAATTTAGAAAATTTTGAAACTTCACACACTCCAACATCTGAGAGTCAAATGACGGAACCCACGGTTAATCTAATTAGAACCGACCATATGAATTTTGAGGAGAAAGCAGCAACAACAAAAATTATTAAAGAGTTCAACGAAATATTTCACACAAACGGTAAAGCACTCTCATTTACAAATAAAATTAAACATTACATCAGAACCACAGACGAAATACCGGTTTACACTAGGTCATACAGATACCCTGAAATTCACAAACACGAAGTAGAAAAACAAATTAACGAAATGCTTAGTCAAAAAATCATCCAAAATTCGCACTCTCCATGGAATTCTCCAGTATGGATAGTACCCAAAAAACTAGACGCATCAAAAGAAAAGAAATGGAGACTAGTTATCGATTACAGAAAATTAAATGAGAAGACCATTGACGACGTATATCCTATACCGAATATAACGGAATTGTTAGACAAATTGGGACGCAGTCAATATTTCACCGTGTTGGACTTAACATCGGGTTTTCACCAAGTAGAACTTGAACCGGAAAGCATTCCGAAAACGGCCTTTTCTACGGACAACGGTCATTTCGAGTTCCTCAGAATGCCGTTCGGATTGAAAAAGAACCCACGAATATTCCAACGGGTAATGAATAATGTACTGTCAGGATTAAAAAATTGTCAAGTCTATCTCGATGATGTAATTATATATAGTACTAGTCTACAGGAACATGTAGAAGACATAAGATCTTAACCCGCTTTAAAGATGCAAATCTAACAATTCAGTTAGATAAGACGGAATTCTTTAAAAAAGAAGTGGCTTATTTAGGTCACATTGTAACTCCTGAAGGCGTGAAACCTAACCCCGATAAAATACGTGCTATTGAAAAATTTCCAATCCCCAGAACAGCGAAACAACTCAAAGGGTTCCTAGGACTCCTCGGTTATTACAGAAAATTTATAGCCAATTTCGCTGAATTAACAAAACCACTAACGCGTAAATTAAAAAAGGGAGCCACCATAAACGCCAATGAATTGGAATACAAGGAATGTTTTGAGAAATGTAAACATATATTGATAAACGAACCGATCCTCAAATACCCGGACTATTCAAAACCTTTTTCCCTTACAACGGACGCCAGCAATGTTGCATTGGGAGCTGTCCTAAGTCAGAATTTCGATGGTAGAGACCTACCAATCGCATATGCCAGCCGCACGTTGTGTGAATCGGAAACGAAACTATCAACAATTGAAAAGGAATTACTTGCGATCGTCTGGGCTACTAAATACTTTAGGCCGTACCTTTATGGTAGGAAATTCCAAATCCTAAGTGATCACCGCCCGTTACAATGGTTATTCTCTATGAGAGAACCAAATTCAAAGTTATTTAGGTGGAGATTAAAATTAGGAGAGTTCAATTTTGATATTAAATATAAAAAAGGATCTGAAAATGTGATCGCGGACACATTGTCAAGAGTAGAAATTAATGCCAATGAAACCTCGGAGTTTGACGATTTGAATGATAAAAGCGTTGAAGACTTGTTGCAAGACTTTTATGATTTATTTCCAGAATTACGAGAGGAAAATCTGAGCGACTTTGAGCTAACCGACGCCGAATTGGAACAGACAATTAACGAATCCATAATAGCAAATATCGACCCGGAAGAACCAAATGATCCGTTTGACGACGACGCTACGTTCATTCAAACGCTGATGACAATACTGTGGTTACAATACCCATCATAGAGGGACCAATTAATCCAATCACAAATCAAATAATAATATCAGAAGTAGAATATGGACCCGCTAAACCAAAAATATCCAAATTACATAATAACACAAAGACACGAATCCTAGTACAATTTTCTAGAAATGAATCCGATAACGATGTAATACAGTTCATAAAAACATTTATCATCCCAAAAACTAAATATGGCCTATTCTTTGAAAACGAAAACTATGAATCATTTTGCTCTACACTTTCCAAATACTTCAAACATTCAGAAATTGATTTCAGCAGATACACTAAAAAATTAATAGATGTAGACTCTGAAGAAGAAATTCGAGAAATAATAGAAAACTATCATTTGGGAAAATCAAACCACAGAGGCGTAGACGAAGTACACAGTAGGATTAAAGAACTCTACTACTGGCC